TTATCTTTTTTCATAACAGCTGGGCTACCCTCTGCACTATCTTCACTTTCCGATGAAAGTGGCATTAATTTTTTTTTATCTTGAATTTTTGACTCCGTCAGTCGACTTATGGAAGAAACAGTCCTTTCGGGCTTTCCTTGTTTCTTTTCAATCTCCACCACTTGTCCAACATTATCAATACCTTTGCGTTCCGCAACAGCTGTCATTATTTCAGACATTAAATCATTGTCTCCAAGCGATCCAAGTCCTGTTCCCAATTGTATTGGCTCGTCTATGACCTTATTAAAGTTGAGATTTGGCAGATTCATTGGTTCTTCAGTGGCTATTTTAGTATTCTTACGGGTATCTTTTAATATTTTTGTATCTCTTAAATAACTGGTATCATTTTCGCTTTCACTTCCTGATTCTTCACTTTCTTCTGTATCTGAATCATCATCACTATTTTGAAGTCGATTGAGTTTTTTGTTCTGACCCGTATTTGAATGTCGAGTTTGGTTGTATTGTGATTTTCGCTCTCCATATAATGGCGAGGATGAAAAAGAACTATCTCTAGTGATTGATGATGATGTTGTAGAGAAAGATCCTTTTTGAGAACTCTGTGTAGAAGTCATAACAGAATAAGGTCGATTTGATGAATTTGTTGATCTCGGAGTTGAATTATCGGAGACGGAATTTTGCATGCTCATTCTTTGTGGTACGGATTGGTTTGGATTTATCTGCTGGGGACCATCTTGATTTTGCTGTTGATATTGGAACGATTGTCTCAACACTTCAGCAAAAGCGGCTTTAACATCAGCCAATGATTCGCGTGTTTCAACATGTTCGACCTCATTAAGATCTAAAAACAATTTTGTATTGCTTCTTTCAATCGGCACTGCAAAAAATGGTGAAATTGGATTTTTGAAATCACAAATCAGTTCTTTTGGTCGGCCATATAATTTAAAACTATCCAAAAAACCAACCACCCATTTTGTCATTTCATTGAGTGATTCTGCTGTTAAAATGATAAACTCTCCAGGTTTATTTTCTGTTGGTTTAGCAGGAAAAAGATCGCCTTCTACTCTGAATGTAAAAGTTTTATCTATTAAATGAGGATTTTCGGGATAGGTGGCATAAGTTTGAAGAACATTAGCCATTGTCATGAAAGGTTTTTTTGATTTTTTTGTTTCGTAAAACAAGGCTTGTCCCCTAGAAAAGGCTAAATTTGATTTCTTTTTTTTATCTTCAGATCGATGTTCAGAAACTACTACCCAATATTTTTTTGGTTCATCGGCATAATTAAATTTCACTTGAAGATAGCCTTCTAATTTTCCTTTAAGCAAAACCGTCCCAGAAAGAAAATCCTTTAATCCTGGCCGCTTAATCAACTTTGCAGTGTAGACCTCTTGTAATCTAGAACCCTCATAACATGATAATCTAATTGCACAGATCCACATATTAAGAGAATAGTCGTTCGGAGCCTGAAGATAAAACTTATCATTTTGACCAGCGCTCACCAAAAATACATTGATCCGCTGCAATTCACTTTCAACTGTCGGAGAACAAAATTCGGTTGAATAATTTAATATATTGATGACAATTGGAGTCGGAGAAACCTCGGGTTGCTCGGATTCTCCATTATCTATTAATTTCCAAAGGCTTAACATAGGGCCACAAAGTTCTGCAAAGTACTCAGTCCACTCTTGTTGGCCTGGCGAAGGAGAAAATACCTGCCTACATAAATAACCCTCTATATATAGTTTTCGCGAAAAAACCTCAAAGAGATGCAAAACAGGACGCATTTCTGGGGCCACCTGATCGCCCTGAAAAGAAGTTTTTCGCCCACGTGGTTTCCGTAGTGTGGGAGGACGCTGGGCGTTTGATCTAGGTCCAGGAGTGAATAAAGTATTATTTTCTCCAGGGACTCCTCCCGTGCTTGTCGTGTTCAAAGATTCAGCATCTCGAGTCACCGCGTGCCCGTTTGACGTGGTTATCGAAGGCTGTGAATAATTCTCCATCGTCCTTATTGAAATATTAGAATTCCAATCTTTTTATTGTACTGTAATTATCAAAGGAAGTTATACTTGTGCTGATCGACTACTTCTTTACATTGACTACCAACGATGGAGAACAAGAAACTATGGTGTATGGGATATGCGAAACACTAATATGTGAAATTTTTGATACGTATGTATTAAAATACGTTTAATATAATAGGTTTGTCCCACAAGGGCTAACCAATATAAAGTCAGCCGGTTGTAATTGGATGCGTATGACATCGATTTGCGTCAAAAATATTTAAGAAAAAAAATATGAAATGATCTAGTTAAATGAGTGGAAACGTTTGCATTATATTCGAAAGAAAATTTTGATCGATTATATGAATACTTGCGGCATTATCGTTATTAAAAAATTGGTGATCTCTTACCAGATAATAGAGCCTCTCGGTAGATTTCTTACGTAACACAAGATTTTAAAAAAACGATTTTTATCAAATTAATTTATAAGATACTGAGATATAATTTACTTATAAAAATTCACATATGATTATAATAATGGTTTATAATTTTTTTTTATTAATTGACTGATTTAATTGTTATTTTAAATTTATTATAAACAAAAAAAAATTTTTTTTTATTAATAAGAAATATTTAAATTATATTTTCTTATTTAAGATTTTTAATAATCTTGAATTTGATTTTAAATAATGTATTAAATAATATATAATTTTAATACTGTATATACAGTATGAAGCAAAAAAAAATCAAAATATTTTAGGTTTATACTGTTATTAATAAATCCATATAAAAATTATTTGAATTTTATAAAACTTTACAAATTTGTTTTTAAGATAATCTAAATAAAAACCATAAAGTTGTTTATTAATTTTATTTTATTATAATTTTTAAAAAATTATTGTTCTTAGGATTTAATTTTTTTTTACAAATTTTTTAAATAGTTTTTATTATAAAATATATATTGTATATTATATATAATATATATATAATTGATTTATTTTTCAAATTTTCAAATATTAAAATAAAATAAAAAAATTTAAGCTATTATATTATATATAAAAAATCTTTTTTAATGTATTTTTTTGAAATCAAATATAAGTATATATTTAGAAAGAATATATGTATATTTAAAGAAAAAATTCATTTTTATAATTTTTATATAATATATAATATCTATATTATATAAAAAATTTTTTTAAAAAAACCCTATAAATTTATAATATAATAGTAATACATTATGGATTATCAAATAAAGTTTATAATTTAAATCATATATATAATATAATTGAATTTAGATATTTTTTTAAAAATTATCTTATAATAGAATTACTAAATAATATATAATAAATAATTAAAAATTTTTAAATAAAATCTTATATTTAATATCTATTGATAATAAAAAAAAATAATTAAAAATTATATTTAATTAAAATTATATTATTAATTCAAAAATTTTTTATAGTAATACAAACATATAATTAGTTTAAATTTATTTGATTATAAAATATTTATTACAAATTTTTAATTAAACTATATAAAATAAAATATTTAACTTTTTCAATAGTTATAAAGCTATAATAGATTATATAAAAAAATTTGAAATAAAAAAAATTTTCTAATTTAATTTTTATTAAATTTGCAATATATTATATTAAATTTGAAGATATATAAATGTTATATAATAATAAAAAAACTCTTTTTCATATACAACTTTTTTCTTAAAAATTTTTTTTTTTAGTAATTATCTTTTAAAATTAAAGAAACAAATATTTTTCTCACCTTTCAACTTTTTAAAGTTCTTCACATATTCTTTACCTTCACTATAAGAACCTTAAGGAAACCAAAAAAGTATACTGGTGCATCGGGATGAGACCTCTGATCAAAGGAAAGCAAGTTTGGGGACCTTGCTTTTTTTTTTAATTGCATGAGGAAAGGCCTATAGCAGTTATTTCTTTATAAATCTTCCTTGAAGTTCTTCCTATTTTTATTTTTTACAGATACACATTTCTTATTAAATAACTATATTCTTTTCTTGAAGATCTTTTTTGCAAACCAAAAAATCAAACTATATATTAAAAATATTTATATTGTTGACTTGAAAGACTAGCAATATATTTATTGTTTACTTCTTACTATCGCTCAGCATAATTTGCTGCACCATAAAAACCACAAAACTTTTTTTCAAAATAATTTTTACAAAAAAACTGCAACCAGTTTGCTCCTAGTAATTGATTAACATCCTACTTTTAACCAATCACATATTATCAAATATTCAAACACATCTATTATTCAATGTAAACAATACCAAAAATGGAAATCCATTCAATCACATGACCATAGTCTATTAATAAACACCAAAACAACAAACATATTCTATCAATCATTAGTCAAAAAATATACATGTTGCTGAAATTTATAGATCCTTGATGCAATTGATGCAATTATTTGATGCAATTAATTAAGTCACTATTAAAACATATAAATAATTAAGTCATGACACAATTATTTTTGAAGATTTTAGGAATTGAGTCAATAGCAAAATAATTTACACCATATGTATAGTATAGATATATAGGTAAGCTAGCATTTAACTTGTTGCATTTCTGTATACAAGAGATGTTGTTTCTTTTACCATATACAGTGAACCCTCTCTAAATGTACATCTCTCAGGACCATAGAAAATTTTTTGAAAAATGTGTATTTATAGAGGGTGTGCATTTATAGAGGTAATTTTATTAAGAGTTCTATGTACTTGGAACCAAGCTTGACCATGTATTTAGAAAGAGAAAATATAGTAAGTGCATTTATAGAGGGTGCACTTAGGGAGATCTCTCTGTATATAACTCTTCAGTATAATATTATTAATAAAGAAATGATGTTTACTTATCAGAAAAAAAAAATAAAAAAATAAATATTATATAATATTATATAGGAATTAAAATTTTAAATTAAAACTAATTAATTTATAAATTGAATTAATTTAATTTTTAAAATTTTTAATCTAATAAAATTCAAATTAATTTAATTTGAAAATTTTTTAATTTAATTAAATTAGATTAAATTAATTTTTAATCAGATCAAATCCAATTTTAAATATTTTATATTTTATATTTAAATAAAAAATTTTTTTTTAAATTAAAATAAAATGTAAATGATTGTATTTTACAAGTTAAAAATAAATAAGAATACTATTTAGCTATATCCAAACTTTATTATTCACATCTTTCTTTTAATATCCAATACTAGATTTTCAAAAGTAATTGAAATTTTATTATATTAATTTTTATTTTTATTATTTTTGTTCTCATTATTTTTGTTCTTATTATCTTTTTTTTTTGGGGGGGTTATCCCAGTAGATAAACATCATCTCTTTATTTGATTTGTATATATCAAGGTATACATCGTG